TAGATATAGAGTTGTAGATCTATAACACTTTCACGCTGATTTTGACTCAATAGGTCACATGACCTAGAAGCTATTGAAGAGAAATACTAAATTTAAACTAAAAAAATAGGTAACAAAAATAAAAATTTAGTTAAAATGGAATAAAAATGCATGTGCCTCATATATACAGTTTAGTACAACAATTACACACTGACTTCTAGTCAGTGTGTCACACAATATAGAAGCTATTGAAGAAAAAGTTATATTTTTAATATTAAAGTTATTTAAAATATTGAATATGATTTGAGTGTGTCTCATGTAAAAGCATGAATTACCACTTTTTTGTGTCAGGTGGTCACAAGGCATTTATTAACATTTGTTTGACAGGAGTGTTTGGTTCAGAAGTTTGTTGACAGTCTCTAAGTGAACCTCAGAGCGCTGAGGGAGCTGGAGAACGGCTGGCCGAAATTAGCGTTCATAAATTGGCTCAACCTTGAGCTAAACACCACTTGCTTGGCGGATATTGGAATATCCAACTCGAAACTAACTTTACTGCAGTCGGTAACACAATAAAACCACTGGGATAAAACAAAATATATATATTTATGCTTTTATTTCTTCTATGCCGGTTTTGGTCCTTCATACTAAAGAGCCATTATACCAGATAAAGTGCAAGGACCACAACACATGCTCATTGCATTCAACCAATTATTACCCTAACATGTTAATTTATCATCAGTACATGTGTAACCTCTCTCTGTAGTCCAGAACTTCTCAAATAGTGCACCCCACTATTTGAGAGTACCTGACCAGCTATAACTTTACAAGATTCTAAGTATTCTTCAAGTTAGCACAGTTTCATGAAGAGTTATCATAAAATTCTGACTTTATTCTCATATTGCTACAACTTTACTCTCATATTTAAACAAGAAAAAACTATTGGTCAGGTGTTCTGACCAGCTGTGCTACCCATCAATCTGTCCTACCTTGTGGTAATGTGCATGTGTACATCGATGTAACGCCATATACTCAGTTTCCCCAAGTATATCATAAGCCTGGTGGGCCGCCAGGCTTTACTTGTGCTCCCACCAGGCTAAGCATTATTTATTTAAGTCTTTAAAATTTTTTTGCATTTTTTAAGACTTTATAGTTGTTGTCCAGATGTAAATCTTCACATGATCATCAAGTGATATTTTCAAATTTCCTGTCAACTTTAAACATTTTTCATCTCAAAAACTAGACTGGCTGCTGTATAAAATCCCATCATTTCAAGTGCACCAGGCTTGGCAAATTTTCTGGGGGAAATCTTGCATACTTACTCAGCAGATTTCTTATCAATACATCCTACCTGTGGAAGTTTTGTTTCGACTTTTATTTCATTGAAGATTACATTAAGCTTTATTTAATTTATTTAATACCTGGCTTTCATTACGTTGCTCCATTGCTTCATGTTTTAAGTTTATATGACAGGCGTTACTATACTGTATACTGTAAACAAGTCATTGCTTGGCATCAACTACATTAGTTAGGACAAAACATATTTTTGTGGGCTATTTGTCCCTATAGTTTAAAATATTTTAATGTAATACTCTTATTCCATCCATCCATATTCTATACACCCTTGTCCTTTGGTGGGGTCGAGAGGGTTGCTGGTGCCTATCTCCAGCTAACGTTCCGGGCGAGAGGCGGGGTACACCCTGGACAGGTCGCCAATCTGTCACAGGCAACATAGAGACAGACAGGACAAACAATGCACACACACACTCACACCTAGGGATAATTTGGAGAGGCCAATTAACCTGACTATCATGTTTTTGGACTGTTGGAGGAAGCCGGAGTACCCAGAGAGAACATGCAAACTGCATGCAGAAAGACCCTGGGCTGGGAATCGAACCCAGAACCTTCTTGCTGCAAGGCAACAGCTCTACCAACTGCGCTACCTTTTTAATTAAAATGTGCTAAATAGAGCATGTTAGTAGCAATATTATGTGAGATTGAAGCTGTGTCTATGGTGTAATATTAGTGTATATTAACATATCCCATCATTTCAGGTGCACAGTGACCCGCACAGTTTGGTGGACATTTGACTGCGCTTCATTTGATAAAGATTAATGCGAAAAAAAGATTTTGCGGTGATCTGTATTTGTAGATGTCTGCGTTTAATTTAATTTCAATAAAAACTTGATTCCCCTGTCTAATATTGTTTTATTATAAACACCTCTATATTTAAAATATTTTTAAAAAGGTAGAATATTCTAATAAAAGGATTAGAGCAATAGCTTTTCATTTTAGACGGGTAAAATATTCTGATTGAAGAAGTGATATATTTGTGGTTTTGTCGTGTATATGTAAATTCCTGGGATTTGTTTTAGCCACTGCTCCAGTTTGGGGGTGACTGCCCCGAGGGCCCCGATGACCACAGGCACCACTGTGGTCTTCACCTTCCAGGCCTTCTCCAGTTCCTCTCTGAATTACAACAGTGAAATTGAGCTATGCAGTATGGGTCCTTAGCCAAGACCCTTGGAGCTATATAGCCTACCTCATACCATGAGAGACATTGATATGCATAACATGCTGGCTCAGACGTCGCCCGGCCAAACAAGGTCTGCGTCAGGTGCTGGGGAACCAGAGCACCTTGATGACAAATGGGCTACTGGAACAAGACGGAAATGGGCGAGAGGTGAAACCTGGATCTGTTGGAATATATATATATATATATATATATATATATATATATTTGATTTTTTTTTTATATTTTTTATTTTCTATCTTTATTTGTTTTAAACATACATAGGGTAGTGACTTAAATGTGTCAGTGGAGGCGCCAATTTCGGGAGTTGGAAGTTTAGTAGCCATCAATTAAACAACGGGTGGATGTAGGGCAGTGGATTAAATATGTCAGCGTAGGCCACCAAGATGTTAGATTTGTTCTTTGGGTTGTGGAAGTTTGTGTAGTTTGTCCGTTGATGAACGCTGTGCTTTGGCTTCTGTTACTATGCACTGGCAGTATAACGGTCAGTGTTTGCTGTGAATTCTGAAGGTAGGCAATACTGACCGCCAGCTCCTCACTGTAGTCAAATGTTACATTTAATGTCCGAGTAGTTAGTTTTGTATTGTTTTTTCTTTGTTTAATATATACTGTATTTGAAAACAAACAAAAAATAAATAAATAAATGCGTTAATGAGAAAAGTTAACACGGAGTGTTTGCTGTGAATTCTGAAGTGTTTGCTGTGAATTCTGAAGGCGAAACCACTGCACTGTCAAGTGATCAGAATAAATAGTCTGAACCGCCATGTGTGTCGAATTCCTGCCTCAAACGTCGTTCCGACCACAACCCTTAAGGAAAACACAACGCAGAGTTTTCGGAAGCAGCGAGGTGTCATCTGACATTGACAGGGTTACACATATATGTTTATATTGTCATTGTTGTGAGTCACAACACAGTGATCATGTAACAGGAGACAGATAATCTGTGAAAAAAATGGAGCTTCTCTGCCTTCTCCCAGTCTTAACTAGAAACAAACAATCAGAGTCCGGAGGCAGGTCTAAGCACTTGTCAATCACAATCTCATGGCACTCATTCCCCTTGCTGAGTGCTACGGCTACAACTTTTCTTTGTCAGCTGATCCTGTTGTGAATACTAGGTTAGTCAGCATAGCCACCGATGACGGCGTGTAGTGGTTTTTCTGTAATCCCAAGTTGTTTTTCCTCCATTAGCACACTGAACATTGCATTCATGAGGTTCATTGACATTTGTAAGACTCTTCACTATGATAGGTTGTTTTTGGTCAGTAATGGTGCATTTCCTCAGACAGCAGTAGCAGCTCATGGACGAGGTGGAAGAGCTCGATCTTTTCACAGATTATCTGTCTGAAATTGTTAAAACATGGTGACAGTTTTAACAGATATGTAAAACACAATCTTTGCAAAAGTTACACACTGCAGCTTTAAAGTGTGAAAAAGAATTACTATTATGCACCCTGTAAAGGAGTAAATGAGATAAGCCACAATTCATAACATTCATAGGAAAAAATACAATGAATGCTGATTTTGTAAAACTATCTCTATTGGAACAATATCTGATCAGTTCATCTCTGAAAAACAAACTTGACAGCTTGAGCAAATGTGTTAACCCTATGCATGAGATTTATGTTCTGTACTTTGAGGAACTGAATATTTAGCAACTCTAGGCAATAGGAAGCTGTCTTTACCAGATGGTTTCAGCAGATAATGAATATTAACTGATAGCCAAGAAGCTTCCAGGTAAATAGTGCTGTCTAGATCATTAGACAGAAAACAGTATGACCAGATACAGTCATTTTTTACTGAAGTAGTGGTATTGAGAAAAATGGTGTCTTAATTTGCTTGAGTTGTCCATTTGTGACAGGAAGTCTCCTCCTTTTTCTGTTCAGTGAATGAAGAGATGATTTCCACTGAAATGAACCATTTAGCTCCATCCATCACTTCCCACAAGCAGCCAAAAAGAGAAATCTACAAAACCACTGAGGTCAGCCAGAATATTTAATTTTTTTTTTAAATTTGCTGAAAAATCTAATACACTGTCCTAACACCCAAGATATTTAACTCACAGTTGAATAAAACAATAGTTCATAATAATTAACTCAATGAGTTATGCATGTTTATAATTTTTTTACAAGATAAGTAAAGGATTTACTCAGGAGTTCCGGTTATTGGCAGAGACACTCAGAGGGAAAAGTGATGAATGGGTGCAGCAGATTTTAATAAAAACCATGGCTGATTTCATCTGCACACTATAAAAATGCAAACTAAATGCCTCTGAAGGATATGTGGGATTTTTCTAGTACTACGTGGAAGGAAAAGGGAGTTTCTGGAAGGGTTTGGGTGGAAAAGAAGCAAGGTTGAACCCCTTTCAGTGTGTCAACAATTTCCATAACGTGACCTCCTGAAGCCATCCTGAAAGGAGATCCTGCCTTCAGAACAGCAATGCTTACAAAACATATGTTTCAGGTCACTAATGACAAGGCTTCTCTCAACAAAATGACTCCATTCCAACTCAAATCAAATGATGGAAGTTCAGGTGGATCTGGGAAAACACATACATGTAATGTAACTGCCACTAAGGACTTTTGGGTGAGCATATTTAAAGATAAATGCTTTTTTATACATATATCATATATTATGTTTAATGTTTTTACAGTTTTCACTTAATTATTGATCATTAATTTATGTTGTTCTCCTAGCAAATGGCCTTTTATGAGGCCGTTTACTCCAGTTAATTAATTGTTTTCAATGTTTTAATTGCTGTTGTTTTTATGTTAGTTTTTGTCTGCATTTGCTGTATAGCACTTTGGCCAATGGTGCTGATTTAGATGGCTTTATAAATAAAGTTGTATTGTGTTGTATTAAATTAGTTGATGATTATTTTAGTAACTGACTCATCGAGATTAGTTTGATTAATCACTTCAGCTCCAAATTAAAGTGAAAGCTGTGGGTATGAGTTGATATGTAGCCACAGCAGATGGCTTCCAGAGGCTGCATTCCAAACGGATGGAGTAACCAAATGTCCACAGAGAAAAACTGACGAGAAACTGACTCATTTTCTCTTCATTTAACAATTTAGCCACTGAATCGTCATTTAACATTTCAGTGCCTGGAGCCAATATAGAGACCTGGAAACATGGAATTTGTAAATTTGTATCAGAGAGCATGGGCTGCTAACCTGTCTACCTCGATTTTAAACTGCTGCCACCACCAAGAAGCCAACAGCCTTCCCTAGTTTTCATTTCTTCAAAACTACAACTATTTAATATGGCATCACAGGTGACGTTAGACTAAACTAAAAGCTGGCTGGTAGTACTTACCTGGAAAGGGAAACTCCCCCTGCTTTCCCAATAAGCTCCTCATGGTGAAGGACAGCATCATTCCAAGGAACTTCTAGGAACTTCAACAGTGTCTGCATCCATTTCTCAGGATGGAGGACCAACTGTTCATAGTGCATAGGTAGGCACTTGTCCACTGCCTCCAAGCACTGAGTGTACATAGTTTCTATCGCCCGATTCCACTTGGTCAGGCAGTCGCGATAGCTGCCCAGGTCAAATCCTGCAATGGTCACTTTCCGTGAGATCATGGAGTGAACCGATGCCCTCCCATCACGAATCATAAGCACAAACTTGGCACGTGGGAAAATCTTGGCCAGGTAGGAGAGCGACTTCAGTGCAAACGGGTCCTTATTGCAGAGGAAGTTTGCCGGCTCGCCATGTTTGACAATGATTTCCAGTAGGAAGGCCTGCATGGCAGCGTCCAGCACCTCATCTGTTACACCAGCCTCATCCAGGCGCATCTTCTCGCGTCCTGAACGGCTCCACATTTGTTTCATGGCCAGGATGCGGGGAATGACGCGTGTCTCCTCTCCACAGCGCACCTCAGGGTGGGCATCTAACATTGCTCTCATCAGTGTGGTACCGCTTCTGGGCACACCCCCTATAAAAATCAGTGGCATGTCTTTGTTGTAAACAAACGGTGTGCTGAGATTCTGGCCTGTCCGTAAGGTGGTCCGCATGCTGCCTCCCAGTGCGGACAGAGGCAGGACTCCTCCTGGATGGCTGCGCTCCTCAGAGCGATGGTGACAGTCCATTGCATGCCGGCCAAGGTAAAAGACGGTGACCGAGCTGATGACCAGGCAGGCCACCAGCAGGTTCTGTTTCAGCTTGCCAATCATGTCGTTACTCTCCAACAGTGGAGTGGTTTCTCCTTGGGGAAGGAAGAGGTGACTTAGGAAAAGGGCAGAGGAAAAACAACTGCAGGGTAGCTAAGTTTTCTGCCCTTTATGGCTGTCTGCTTGGAAGCCAGTATGGATGAAGCTCCTTGGTCCACAGCAGGTGGTGTGTCCCCAGCTCCATGAGGCCTGTGGTGTGGCACAACATAAAAACCACCATTAGTTTGAAGTTTATAGTCAAAGAATTCAAATGCTAACAAGGAACTGAAAACACTGAGACGTAAGATATTGACTGGAATCAGCTGATTTGAAGCCTAATTGACTCTGATTCGTGATTGACACTTGAGCACTACCAGGTAACACTAACAACAAACCTAATATGTGGAAGTTGTTCCTGCAGAAAGAAATATTCACCTTGGTTGGTTTTACCATCAGTAAAGTGTTAAACAGTCACACAGTTCTAAAAGACGGAGTCCATTTAACCCCGTGAGCTTGTTACCTCGTGCATGGTCCCAGCAGGGTCATAGTGATATCGTGCCCACTTTTATGAGTTGTTTCTTTGTATATGGTTTCAGGAACTGTAAGGCAGATGGGACTCCCATATGGCTTCCACATTGTCCAACCATGAAATTCCTGACAGTCGCACTAAGACTGCTGGACGGTTATTATGAAGTTCACCTCCCTCAGACTGATGTGTATATGTATAGGCATGTCAAAATAAACAATTAATCGCATGATAAATTAAAAGAAACTCAATAAATTTAATTTGCTTGATTTATTGTTTTTCTCTTTTTTTCCTGTCATTTTGCTACAAACTGAATGATAAAAGTCTTCAGTCTGGTGCTTTGGTCTCAACCATCCCTGTTTTTGAATGATAATTTTGTTTACAGAGATTTCATAATTTATTTCATTTGTTGTTTTCTTTATTTATCTTAGAACATTTATCTAGGATAAATGTGCATTAGAACATTTAAACACCACCCATCCATCAATCCATTTTATTCCGCTTTATCCGGGGTCGGGTCACAGGGGCAGCAGCTTCAGAAGAGTGGCCCAGACTTCCCTCTCCCCAGCCACTTCTGCCAGCTC